AAATATGTCACACAATGTATCACTGATGGGGTCCTGTTGGACTCCAGGTATACTGGAATGTGACATTTTGTCTCAGCTTGATGATGGCTAATAATAATTTCTTGAAATGTAGAGGATGAGTTTCAGTTTACACGTTTTTGTAAATGGTGAGTGTGCAGGGACAGCCTTGAAGGACCAAATGTTCCCTAGTTGCTCGTATGTTATGTTATGCTACTATAATAGCACAGCAAGATTAAAGCCAATATGTCGCATGTCTACTACGATACCACAACAAGATAATAAATACATTACATGTCTGCTACAGTAATACAAGATGACAACTAACACTTTACATGCCTATCCAACAAGATGGCAACCAATACTTTTCATACCCATTGCTAAAATACAAGAAGATTAAGAAACTGTATGTAAGGTAGCTTCTACAAGAATAATAGATGCTAAACAATGAAGCTTAATTATAGATTTTAAGCTCATAACACGAGTATTGCTTTATTTAGTTAGAACTTTATTTGTTTGTTGTTCAGCGCAAAGCCCCCCCCCAGTGGCACAGCGGTAAGTCTGCGGACTTACAACGCTAGAACCCGGGTTTCGATACCCGTGATGGGCAGAGCACAGATAGCCCATTGTGTAGCTATGTGCTTAATTCAAATAAACAAACCATCAGCACAAAGCTATACGATGAGCGGTTCGTGCTCTGCCCGCCACCAATTGTTAGCATTATAAGCCCCAGATTTACCGCTGATCACGGTGAGGGAGGGGAGGAGGAGCTATTGGAATCTAATTAGAAACCAACACGTTGTGTTTTAGTTTGGCTCAATTTGTATGAATATAAATGGTAATACAAATGTTTTCCAAACGAACGCGCTAACTTAGAAGTAATTAAGCATATACTTAGAGCTACTTGAAGTTGCAAATAAAATATGTGAATGACTGGATACAAAACGTATTCTTCTGTGAGTTACAAGTTACTAATTAAGTTGTTTATTTTTAGTTAGTAGTTAAGCAAAAAGCTACACAATGGAATATCTGTGCTCTGCCCACCACGGATATCGAAACCCTGTTTCTGATGTCGTAAGTCCGCAGACATACCGCCGTATCACTAGTAATTAATATTAACTTTTGATTAAAACAATCTTCCTACATATGCTAAAACAAAAATCAACTTTGCAATGAATATAGTTACTGTTACTTTAATATACTGTTCCTACTTATAATATTTAGAATAAGTAATTTAATGAGTTGGTTATCCTACATTTTAGCGATATTTTCGGCTATAGTCCAAATAACATGTTACGAGGTTTGACTAGCTTAGGAAATTTAGGTTAGTTCTAAATCCATATAATAAGCTAAGAAGTTAGCATAATCTGTATAATGAAAAGGTATAATTATAAAAATTATTAACAATTTTAATCAATACTCTTAACTTTTAATGAAAGAAACACATACATTTTAATGCTTTCCTTCATATACTATCATAGATTTCGTTTTCCTTAAGTGTCTGCTTACTACCGTGCAATGTACAGTATGTTGGATGGTGTCACTACTCCAGAAATGCTTATTGCTTAAAAGTGTATTCTTGGCATTCAGGGGGACAGTAGCTCATCCTTCTTCGTTCAGTTTCTTAAAATTAATTAATTTTGTCTACTCTACAAGACATAATGTTATAAAAGACAGCAGATTCAGTCTGTAATAAAAAATTTGCATCAGTGCAGTGTTGGGGCTACACAGCATTAGTCTAACAATTTTAAAACGATCATCACCATAAACGTTTTAATAATTATATAGTACTATTTTACTATTAAAAATCAGTATTTTAAAACATAATGCAGCAAATCTGTATGGGTGGTAGTAAAGATAACATATTTTATTTCTCTTGTAGAATAAATAAAGTAAACAATAGTTAATCAAGTTAAAAAAAAAAGCAGATATACGTGCATTCAGAGCATCTGTACGCTTTTCATATATAAATGCTAGCCTTAAACAGCAGTAACCCGATTTCGTGTCCTTGTTGCACTTGGTCAAGTGTTCCACTTTGGTATAATTAGACTATCTTTGCTTGTGCTTTTGAAGCTCTATTTTTATCTTGTGTCATTGTTTTGTATTGTGCTAGGTTATAAGTTTAAAAACATCCTGTGGGATACAATAGCGTAGGATAATATATGCATTGTGGGAGAGCTGATCCCCATTGTTCAAGTATAGAATTGTTATACTTTACTCAGGCTAAACTCACAATTTCTGAAAATAGTGTGAGAATTCATAGCTTTTGTTTTTTAAATATAGAGATGCATCTTTCAGTTTTGCTTAGTTATTACTTGCTAAATATATATTGTTTTTACATTGTTTTACGATCTCTGTTTTCAACTCAGTCTACTTGAAATTTCAATTTATATCTGAATTACATCTTTTGCTATGTTTCGTGTAATTTCTAATTACTATCCTTATCTGTAAAGTTATCAGTGAACCTGAAATTACAGGACATCTTTTTGTAGAGTTTTATGATTTTGGATTGGTGTATTTGTTGGGCTCCTTTGTAATCTTCTAAAGCATAAGTGTTGTACGCACTTTGGTAAAAGTTTAAAATGTCATTTTCAAAACCAATGACGTGTAACCAAGGGGAGGAATTCGTCGTTAAGGATATACCCCATATGTTGTATATTGACATTTTGCTGATTAGAATTTTGACTTGACCAAAAAGTCAAGAAGGAGAACTAAAAGCTGTGACCTGCAGGTCTTTTGATCCTTAACTCACAGAAGACATGGATGACTGAGAATTTGTGTGATGACTTGCAGGATAGAGTTTCTGAGACCAAATAGGGTGATCTCTTTAGGGTACCCAGAGTGCCATCAACAGGAACTCAACCCAACTCAAATCTTGGTCGTTTTCACCTGTAGCTAACCAAAGAAGACTGGAGATAATACTTGCCTACCATTTGTAACTGTCTCACAACCTGGTTAAGCAGATTTCTCCTTTGCTATTAAAAAGAACAGTCAAGGAAGACTTGGAAAACTTCCTAAAGCATTTCAAAGAGGCCAATTCTTGGAATCTTTTAAAAGCTGGTCTGAAGAACAGGAAGTCAATGCCTGATATTGAGCGTTTACTGACCAGTGCATAACTCATTTGAACACTTCAACGAGGAGCAGCTTATATCTGAGTTGTGCGGATGTGGGAAACCAAACTATTCATTGAATTGAATTTAATGCTTGAAAGAGGGAATCTCTTGAAAAATTTGGCCACTTTGTGATGTCTGCATGGGAAAGCGTATTCCATTATGGCGTCAGCAGATCACAAGGATATCTTCGTGGAGTGCCTGACAAGCAAAATGATGCACCATCACATGGGTATTAAGGACATTTACACTCTAATAGAGGCAGTATTTATGGTGATCATGTTAGGTGTGAATAGGAACTGCTGCAGTGGCTGTTTCTTGGTCATATTGACCCATCAAGATCCACTGATCATGGAAAACTGATATCACACCTGAAGCTACCTAGGTGCAGACATTTTCTAACCCCTCATCAAACCCACATTGAATACCAGTGAGTAATCAACTATTTCCAGGGCCTCCCTTAATAGATGGTTGTTCCAAAGAAATTTACACTGGTGTTCTAATATGAGGATTCAACCACTTTCTTTAGTTGCACGTTGGTAGGACATTATAAATGGAATTTACAGTTTTGCAAAATTATTCTGCAGATTCAGAAACTCGAAGGCAAGCTATAGCTGTCATCACTCTGTTGCTAGAAAACTAATGGATCATAGGTTGAATTTGACCAATGTCTTGGAAAACATAGAAGTCAGTATGTGTCAAACGGTTTAGTTGTCACCCCATCTTGTTTAGAGGTGGTGGTGCTTGATATATGTTGACAAAGATACACAAATGGAGAGTCGAGTTGTTGGTTGATATTAGACTGTTATAGCCTTGATAGACAATTTACTATGCCAGGTACTGGAAGTGAAGCCACAACTCTGTCAAGTTGAAAAAACCTTGGTTTGGTGAATTGTGGTCTGCTAAATATGAATGAAAAGGTTTGACAATGTAATGTCATCCACACGACGAAGATAACTGCCATCAATCTTTTGTCGAGTATTGGGTTCTTAAAGTTGGAGCTCCTATGGAAATTGTCAGCTATTTTTGCCCGAGCAACAGATAAGCTTCACTTCCATCGAGAAACTATCCAATGCCAGCAAGATTGGCTTCAAGAACTGGACTACACAAGTGCACGTTTAGAAAGGAGTTCCAATATCTTTGTCTGTTGTTTCTTGTCTTGAAAGTAAGCCGCATTTACTCAAACCGTTTATGCCAAAGTGGTCACAAGTTCCCAATGCCTTTTTCTAATTATGGACATTCAACTATTCAGCTTTGATCACCAGCACAGTAAGCAAAGTGGACATTGCTGGAACTAGTTGTATAATTACTGGCATGCTGCATCTGAGAGTGAATACACAGCTAGCGAAATATCCGAGATCATTGATAATAAATGTGCAATAAATGTGGAGTTGAAACAATGATATTGTGGATTGAATATGTCAATGTGTTTATGGAACTAGATGGTTACGTGTTATATAACAATAACACACCACTACATAGACAAGTATGATAAAACAACTGCATACATGTTTTTCTGGAACATTGGGACTTTAACTTGTACTGAAATGCAGCAGATGTTTAAAAATGGAATTAGAGAATCTTCAGAGAGTATTTGATCATCTCCAGTAGTAATTGAAAGAATTCTGTTGGGCTGTTGTCAATATGCATAGTTGTCAGGTAAATCATGATTGGACATGGCGATATGGAATGTAATGACGTGATGAGCCCCAAAAATCATTTTAGTATAATGTACTCAAATTTCATACAAAATTTTACAATGTTTTGTTGTTGTTTGTTGTTTGGCAATTGGTGTTAGTTGTAATGGAGAATTCACCACATTTAAAGAAATAAAGAAAATATTACTTTTTACATACTTATCTATTTGACTCTTAAGTTGCTGATTTTCTGTCACTATTTGAAGAGTGTCGAAAATTCTCTTCCCGAATATCTCCTACGTGCCCATCTTGATAAATTCTGTGATTCTGTGTTGAGAATTTCTTCTTCATCTTTAATACTATCCTCAAACTTTTCTTTAATGTTGCTCAAAGCATATTGCATTTCTTTTTCATCCAGAACTAAATTCTTATCCCGGTCATAAGTTTCATATATTTCTTTCAACTGTTGCTCACCGAGGCCCCGCCTACATAGTAATAAAAATACATATTTCTCTCAGACTGGATATGTTTGTTTGTTTGTTTTTGAATTTCTCGCAAAGCTACACGAGGGCTATCTTCGCTAGCCGTCC